TTTTCTCAGTCATAGTAGAAAGACAAATAATTTATGATAACAAAAAGTACAAGATCTAAAAAAATATGTGTGTACTTTCACATGTACAATTTTACTTAGCTATGATATAAGATGATAGTAAGTGCTTACTATAACAACATAATCAACTGAAATTCTAAGACTTGCAACCTCCAATACAATCCAAATGTTTTAAATCAGGTTATATTACCTGATCAACATTGTGTGCAACTTTCAACTTCTCATCATATATCAACAACTTCTTTAGTACTATATTTTGGGGCTTAAGCACTTTTTCTATCAAATCAGAAGGCTTTGTAGATAAATTGTCTAAACCTACATGATATACCTTGCATCACATCTCCTTACAAAAATAATCACACATTACCTTCAATATTATTGCTAAGATTAGGAATTCCATACAAACCCAACTAGTACACTCCTATCTCTTAATTTTGTACAAATTTGGTCAATAAAGTCTACAATTGAGTGTCAAAATTTCAACATATATCTTATTAAAGTTAAGAATAATAATGGCACACTCTATTACAAAGAATGGCTTTTGCAATTTAAAGAAAAAGAGAAGGATGACCTATCTTCAAGTTTCAAATTCTATGTAGAGGAAGTATAAATAACACAATATCTTTCAGCTATAGCAACTAGAAAAGAGTAGGGCCTTGTGAGAGAGAGATAATCTAGAGGAAAGTGAATGAGTTGAGAATCCAACTTAACATGCGAACATTCTTACTACATTTTGCAACATCTAATTATGCGAACATTCTTACTACATACAAGAGTCAGATCACAACACATGAAGGAAACATTTCACATACCAAACAAATTTGATAGTAACTAACCATGGTTTCAGAAGCGTCAAACAGCAAATCTAGAGGGGATATATTTAAATTTTATTTGACTACAACAATTCTGTAATCAACCTTCTTTTTGTAAATGATTCCAGTGGTCTTCTTGGGCTCCTCGTGAATCATGGCAAGAGTCCCTTCTTGAGTAATCTGAGTGTCTTGAATATTTGGACGAGTGTGCTTAGACTTCTTTAGTTCAAAAGAGAACCCATTTGCCTTCGTAAGCGCTTGCACGGCCTCTTTCCACAAGTTCAAATCAAATTTTTGATTGAAACTTGCCTTCTCAAACTCTCTCAATTTAAGTATCCACCTATCGATATTAGAAACTTTTCTTGAAATCAACGACGGATAGCTTGTAGAAGGGGCATCAAATTTAATCCTGGATTTTTCCCGTTTTTTTTAGCTTCAGAAAATTTACCCAGCTCTATCATTGGCTACAGCAAAGTCAGGTACTTTTCTGACAGCACAATGACAGCAACATGGCACTGTTTGGTGGCCTTTAAAATTAGAGGAGCAAAATCCTTGCCTTTGGGCAAACTATAGTTGCTCTCGTCAAAGAAAGGGAATGAATAGCCTCTGTCTTAAGGTCCTTACACAACTGGTACACAAAATCCTTCTGTTCACCAGAATGACTCAAAAATATCTCGTGCTTGATATTGTCCAGCTCGCGCTCAAAATATCTGTAAGATGTAACAACATAGTTAAAGACCGCATTCGTGAAATTACTATAACATAGAACACATCTAATGTACAATTGTGCATGATGTTCAATTGGCAACAAACTTGCAGATTGGCAGGCCATTTCTGCACAAGGTACCAACTTAACTTTTGAATATTGTGAACACAACTTTTTCCCTCTTTTCTATTAAGAATGATATAAATGCTTGAATCATTGAACTTTGTATCAAATCATCCTTATTGGTGGATTGACACATTGTCAAAACAAAAAAAATTGTAGATAGCTGCACGAAGATTTTATTTTTGCATCTAAATTCCTCGGAAATATTTCAAAACTTGTGAAAATCAAGTAGTTTTACTGCTTTCTCTCCTCCTGTTCTACACTCCCAGGAGACCTCTGCAAGTCGGCTTGGATGCCTTCAGTGGACTTACACGAGAATAAGGAAGGTACTTGCTACTATTGATTCAAACACTTAAGAAATATTCAGTTGAGTAGAAGGTGAAAATTAGAAATGGATCTACACTACAGACCATTGAAATTGAAAAAAATCACAATAATCTTCGGGTGCTACGAGGCTAGAAATCAGAGACTGCGCAAGTCTTCGAATTAACTATTGATAGCAACAAGCTTACATCGATGCACAATTTGAGATATCCAATATCCAAAAATTTCTCCTAGACAAACTAGAAAGAAGTGGCAAAGGTGCATAAGATGAAACCTCTTCTTCGTCGGATCCATCCAGTGCAGCCCACCTCTTCGATGCACAACCGACATCATCACCAGCGCCCTTACAATTCCTAGACTCTCCACCAACAGCTGTCTCTTCCATAGTTTGAGAAACAAATGAAACACCCCAACTCTGAATTAAACACCCCATGTTACATACCAGGTTTGTAAAGCAATTATGTGCTACAATGAAACTATTGTGTAAACTTGATTGCACTTTGATACACAGTTCTTCTGAAATCCTAAGATTCGTTCACATCCCCGAAACCAGTTTCCCTTGACTACTTTAGATACGGGAGCAAATGGGCCTCGGTATCGGTAAACGCTGTGGATCTGCCGACTGGCCAAGATCACACAACTTAGGCCCCAAACCTGCTAGCGCAACTAATTCTTTTTTATTATGTTTTAATCTTACTTATTTGATTAAATTCTAGTCATATCATAATTATAAAAAAATAATAATAATATAATTTTATGCTTTGAATAACAAAAATAATAAATATAAATAAAAAAAAAATAAGTCATTTTAAAATGTAAAATTTTGTTTTTATGAATTAATAATGTTTTATATAAAAGATTATGATATAATTTTATTTTTATAATTTATAAAAAATAATTTATCCATGTTTTTTCTTAGATTTTTTAATATATGTATGTATATATATATATATATAAGATATCACCAAATATACAACATCAATAATAAATGTATATAGAAAATGCTTTCTATCCATATAAGTTTTTTTTATTTTTGTTTATTAAAGTATAGACTAATTGAGGTAATTACATCCCAACCTAAAATGTAATCAAGATAATCATAGATTGCATCTAAAATACTTCAAAAAAAAATCAAATAGAACTTCTTAGGATTGTAATAGTCTTTGCCACCAATAAATGGAGCAAGTATAAAAATATATAGTTCATTTATGTTTCCTACTACATGAAATATCTAATGTAGAACTTGAAAATCTCTTGCTAAAATCCTAAATCTAACAATGTTAAAAATATATATATATATATTTGAAACTCTTATACTATAACAATTATTAATAGCATATTTTGTGAATTTCTAAAGAACATTCTTATGTCACACAAGCTATCCTTGATTCCAAGTAATTATATGATGTTAATATTATCTTCAAAATATAAATATAATAAATTAATTAATATTATACTTTTTCTTTTACTTCATTTCAGAAAAGATCTAATCTTTTATATTAAAAAATTAAAATAACATATAAAATGCACACATTTTTCTAAATGTCTTCATCATAAATTACTCAAATAATGTTGACTTATAAAACAATAGGGTCTTTCATGCCAAGTTATCATGTAATCTTTCATATTTAAATCATAAAACAACTTATATTAAATGATATATTTGTCCATTTCTTTTATACAACTAATTCTTAAATATTTTTAATATGTTAAATTTCTAGGTACAAGTACCAAAACATCACAAGTGCTATAAACAACTATTTTTAAACTTTAATAGTAGTAAAATTTTATATAAAATATAAATATAAATATATGTATGTATGTATGTATGTATGTGAAATATATTAAAAACAATAAATAGATAAATTAAATAGATAAATTAAAATTCAAACAAAGCAATAGAATTTAATTATGAATAAAGATGTTAAATTAAAATTAAAATATATAATTTTTTATATTTTGAGTTATAATAATTATAAATAAATAAATAAATAAAAAGTGATTACTTCAATTATTTGAGTTTTTATATCATTTTAAAAAGATAATGCTTTTAAAAGATATTTTTTGAAATAAACAAGAACATTTTATAAGGCTTTTGCATGACAACCTTTTAAAATAAGCTTCTAGTTAGAAATATCTCCTCAATAAATCTAAAGAAGGTAAACATCTACTCTTACAAGCTTGGATTAAAAAAAAAATAAACAAACAAACAAAATCTTTAAAGAATAAGCTACCAATGATTGAATTGAAACACTTTTAAAATATTTCTATTATATATACTTAAAAAAACAACTAAAAGAACTAATCAATCATAACAATAAATAGATAAATTCTCACTCATCTTGGCATAATTTTAATTTGGTTAAGTGAATCATTAAATATGCATTTGAATAATCTAATCCAATTAATAATTAACTTTTATAAAATAAAATCAGAAAGAAACACAATATGTGCATAGCAATTATTGCATAATTTAGCATTGATGTAATTGATTGTGCTTTATAGAAAACATGTATTCAACAGCTAAGACAAAATAACAATTTTTTGTGATGCTAAAACATCATTGTAGTTCATATTCTTTCTACTATTGTTATTATATAGACTGATATAAAGTACTACGATTTATAAACATTGTAATAGTTCATTTTCCTTAATTTTGGAAGGAATTCAAACTTTTTAAAATCAGGTTTAATATAGATGCTAGCATATTTTTAACTTATTGGTGCTAACAGTAGCCAAGTTTGGAATATAAGTTTTGAAAGCCACAAATTTTCATTCTTTGTAATTACTTCAAAAAAAAAAAAATTAAAAGAATCGTAAAATTATAATATCTACATCATTCACAAATATTTTTTAGTTCTTCATGGACTGTGATATGTAAGTATTCATAAGGACATAATGAACCATTTGTATTCTATTTCTTTTAGTTTTAATAAGCTTACTTATACCAGTCGTTGATTAAAAATTGAATCTTAATTTTACTTATATATATATATATATATATATATATAAATATATATGACCAATAATTTATATTTAATTTTAAACGTATGTGTCAAAGCAAGTAACCATAATTTAACAGGCAACCAAACTTAGTTCTATGGTTTTATAGAAGTATATGTACGGCAAATGTATATCACAAATATATTTCTGTAAAACGAGAGCAGATGTATATCACAAATATGGTGGATTGCAAATCGGCATTATCACCGACTTTACTTGTTGGTAGTTAGCCAGTGCATATGCGCCATTTTCTCGCCCAAAGCCACTGCTTTTGTAGCCACCAAACGGAGCCGACGGTGTAAGAATGCCGTATGTATTGACCCACACAATGCCTGCCTTGAGGGAACGTGTTACTGTGTTGATTATGTCGACGTTCTTCGACATTACAGTTGCACCTAATCCATACTCAGACTGATTCGAGCGCTGGATCACTTCCTCCACCGTCCTGAGAAACAGCAACCACCACATCAAAGTTGATTTTGCTGACAATTGATACATTCGAACTAAAATTTTAAAATGAATAGTTCATAATTCCAAAAATAAATTTATTGAACGATATCCTTAAAATAGAAATATTTGAAAAGTTATAATAACAGTAGTAGTAGTAGTAGTAGTAGTAGTAAATATAGCAATAATAAATTTAAGCATTTAAAAATAAATTAATAAGTTAATAAAACTAGTTTCACATAGAATACTCAAAAGAAAGTCATTGAATTCGTTGAAACGTACTTGAATTTTATGACAGACATTACAGGTCCAAAGATCTCTTCACGACATATTTTCATGTCATCCTGTAAAAGAAAACAGCATCATTAACAGTCTGAAATAGCATTTCTCTTCACACAAGGCTCACATGTCTCACAAAAACCATACAATATTTTATTCAAGAAATATTTTATGTCAAAGTGTACTGACTTGAACGTCGGAAAATATAGTGGGTTGGATATAATAGCCCTTGCTGCCCACCCGCTCGCCACCAGTAATAAGTCGCGCGCCTTCATCCTTTCCAGCTCTGATGTAGCTCATTACTTTGTTGAATTGAGCTTCATCTGCCTGCTCACATGGCAGGTTGTTGATTGGAGTAAATCTTTACTGGTTACTTGTGGAGGAAGGACCATTGTGAAATTTAACATCTTCAAGTGCAAAGAGCAGCTACTCTGTTGCTTAATATAGGTGATATGTCCAGCCCACTACACCGGAAAATAGCCCAGAAAGTGTTGGTGTATTTGAAGACTTGCAACTTCACGTAAACTACATAAGCATATTTAGCCACTGAAGTTGTCACTGGCATTCTATTGTTCAATTACAGACCACCGCACCGTGCATGAAAACTTATAAATTAATTCGCGTACCTGAGGACCTTGCTCGACACCTGGTTTGAATGGATCTCCGACAACACGCTTCTCCGCACGGGCTTTGGCTCGCTCCAGATATTCGTCATAGACACTTTCATGAACAAATGTCCGTGATCCGGCTACGCACATTTGTCCCTGCGAGTTCGTAACATACGGTCTAGATTAGCGATTCAACTTCAAAACATATGCTCAGATATATATATATATATATATATATATATATATAAAAAAAAAAAAAAAAAAAAAAAAATCTGAAACAGCTCCCTCCACGACTTTCGTAAGATCCTTGTCGAACCATTCCTCGGTATATAATCTGAAACAATAACTATATTATCACTGCAATAACCTTTTTTGACAAGAGGTGAAAGGTGACTTCACACCTGATTGTAGAAAATAGCTTGGTGTGCTGATTCAACAGCTGCGTCCATGTCAGCATCTCCAAATATAATGAAGGGCGATTTGCCTCCAAGTTCAAGATTCACTGGTTTAAGGTTGCTCTGAGCTGCCGCTTGCATAATTTGACGTCCCACTTGTGTTGATCCTGTGAAAGCTACCTGTTTCCGGCATTCATGAGGCAGTTGAGATCGGCGAGTGTGCCAAGAGTTGAAAGAAATGTTCTTTACATGTTCCCAAAATCCCATGAAACATAAGAATACGATGTTTCGGTGTGGTTACCTTGTCGACATCCATGTGACTTGCGATGTGCATGCCTGTATCACCGTACCCTGTAACCACATTCAAAACGCCATCTGGCAATCCAGCCTGCAATTGAAAAAATGGTATCCAACTTAGAACCAACCACGGTTAACATAATACCCATGTCATTTCTTCCACGCTTGAAGATAATGTAAACCAGAAGGTGCCGTTTGAAACCAATCCAATCAATAAATTGCACAAGCTCTGACAAAAGAAATAAAAAAATCCATCAATAAATAGCTGGGCAATTGGACTAGCTATAGAAAACAAGATAACCTCGGCTGCAAGCTTAGCGATCAAAAGTGCAGAAAGAGGGCTCTGCTGTGCTGGTTTGAGGACAATGGTGTTTCCACATGCAAGAGCCGGGGCTACTTTCATTGCCAGAAGATAAAATGGAGCATTCCACGGCAAAATTGAACCGACCACGCCAATCGGCTCGTGTAAAGTGTAAGCATGAAACGGTCCATTTGTTGGCAGCGTCATCCCTTGTGCCTTGTCGCACCATCCTGCGCCACATTCCAGGGTCCTTCACAATCAGCAGCGCACACCAGAAAATGCACAATACTATCCCCGCAGGCAATCAAAGCCAGCAGTTTCCAGAACTACCTGCATAGTACCGAAATAACCCGATAGCAAGAGGTGCTTCTCCCAGTCGTGCCATGTCGTAAACTTTGCCCATGTTCAACGTGTCAAGGGCAGACAGTTCATCCTTATGTTCATCTAACAGATCAGCAATGCGGTTCATGATACCAGCCCGTTCCTGTAGAACCATTGTTAATAAGAATCGCTACTAGTTTTACCCACTAGTACACAATCATCAACGCAGAGATCATACTTAGTAAGAATGGATCAAGAAATTGTTATCGCTAAGTAACCAGAGTGCTTCAACAAAAACTGGAGATGGAGGCGTACACAGCCTGGCATGCGGGGCCAAGGACCTTCCTCGAAGGCCTTCCGAGCAGCTTTCACAGCCCGGTCAACATCCTCTGCGGCAGCCTGTGCCACCTCTACAGCAACCTCTTCGGATCTCGGATCAATAGATGGGAATGTTTTTCCTGCACAAACAAGTCACACTTAATGATCGTTTCGACTCTACGCTAGTCTCAGATACATATGATCTATCCACAGCGCAAAGTCACATTGATTATGAACATTCTGCAGATAAAGATTGTAAATAATGAAATAACTAAAATAAATCCCAAATGCCAAGAGCCTCAGTAATCCCCTGAGTTAACAATATAATACACATGCCAAAATATACTGCACCAAGAAACTACAGTATATTGAATACTCAAACCAATGTTTGAAACCAATCCAAACTTCACATCCTCGGATGTGAGGAAATATCATTAGTTACCTGAAACCGAGTCAACGAAGCTATTATTGATGAACAACTTTGTGTATTGAACTGGAAACGGTGATTTAATAGGAGCTTCCACCTGTTCAGTTGCCAAAACTGCCCGACAATGCATGCTGACTCGGCCAACTCCGCTTCTGCTCCGGCGCCCTACAAGTGACAGTAAGTGAGTACGTGTCTTACGTTGCGATCAAATCCGAGTCTGAGCAAGAGCACCAAATACCAAGTACTATCAGACTGCAACCCGAGCCAAGGTAGTTATATATAAGTAAAAGATAAAAGCGTATAGAACTTGAGCCTCATTCAAAGTCAATTCAAATTTCGCCCATCTTCTCTCAATCTTGAAAAAGGCTTCGTGTTGGATAGAATCAACAATTCACAGATGCAGATTACTTGAGATGAAAGCCATTGCACCGAAAGACTCACTGGTACTAGAAGAACTGAAGTTGGCCGACGACGAACTACAGTCTTGATGTTTTACTTCGCTCGTCTTTAGCGCTAACCCTAGCGCTGGCGCTCCTTTCGACATTGCAGCCATGGTTTCTGGATAAAATCAAACAACACCCAATTATCGACTGTTACAGGACAATCACTCGCACTTAACATAATCTCAGCTGCAGAATGATGGTTGTAAACACACAAGAGAGTATGTCAGAACAACAATGAATCGTCGATTATATCGTAGGTAGAAACCGAACTTCACACAAGCATTCGACAAGAAACCTAAGGGACAGCGCGTTATGATCAAAACCTATGCAGGACTTTATAACTTTTTTCCTTAGAGCAAGCCCAAGGCTGCAAAGACTTCAGATTAGCTCCAGCAAGTGTTTTATGCAGAAGGTTGATCATGACCAAAATGTGCACAAAGCCCTCAACATCTTAATGCCAAAAAAGAAAAAAAAGAAGAAACGATCATTCACTCGACGATAATCCGACTCAATATAATAAAATATTTTGGTATCGATTTGGATTAAATTGGTGCTTACAGTAGAGATGTTAAATACTACAAGTATTGACCTGTAATAAACTCGGCTTTATACAAACCATTCTACCATGGAAAGAACTAACTCAGTGACAATATATGGCAAACTGCTTCTGACTCTACAGTAGAAACACATATCCAACCTGGTTTCCTGCTAGGCGTACAAGTCCAAATCACATTGCACGGCATCTAAATTTTATCCCCAAGCATTGGTTACTCACGCTGATAACTAGCTTGGGAAATTTATGCTTCTCAAACAGATATTGGCAAGTATTTAAAGATCTGTAATATGCTGTTTCCGAACAACAGCTTGGGAGGTCGCACCAACTATGGGCCGGAAGCACAATTCAACTTACCTCACAAAAGAACCAACCGCCGCTAGAAACACTAATTCCTCACTCCAAAGAGATACTAAATTGCCTGCAACCGAGGAATTCAAGCATTTTATAGTAAGATCAAAAATGGAAGGAGGTGGGAACCAAGAACTATACACTCTTTGGAGCGATTTCAGCGTGCTCGGGTGTACACCACAACACCCGCACCAGAAAATAAATTGAAATCAGCGAACGCACAAAAGGAAATAGACCAAACTACGCAGACGAATTCAACGAAAGTGAGAAGATGCTAAGTCAGATAATGGCGCGCAAAGTCGAGGAAGCTCGCATTCGAAAGTTCGCTACTGCCGTAAGCTGCTGTGAAGAGCGTGGATACAGGGAACGACCTAGTTCGATGTGACGAGAGAATCAATTGCATCGGCGTTAATCCGCCACTATAATACTTAATTTTCACCTCCTAAATTACAGGCTGCTATGCAGACTCTCTATTACCCATTTGCTCAGAAATTCGAAGATCACACTGGCACGACATCAGACCAACCCTTTATTTAATTTTCCTAATAAGTTATCAAACATCGAGCCCCAACGCCGTAAATAAGATAAACATCCCGGTCCTCCGACAGCTAACCCTTGAAACCCGTCACCAGTACATAGCACCATACACCTCAGCAACAAATTCCGCATTAAAAAAACATATTGCTGATTCCATCCTCAAACGGAAACTACTACAATCAGACTGCACCACCCGATTCGGCCGAGGGTTGTGGAAGTGGTAAACGACGAAGTAAAAGGTTCTGCAGGTTGTACTGTTAGAGGAGAAAGGCGACAATGGAAAGGGAGCTCTAGCCCGTAGGACAAGGAGAGTAGGACAAGGAGAGAATGAAGGGCACTTGCTTGCCATGCAGCCACGAAACCCTCCCCTCTCCCTTTCCCATGTCAACAAGCAACAGCATCCGAGCATCTTTCTCACTATTATTTTTAACTAACTGTTGAGAATATTTAGAAAGACACAAGAGTAATAGTAAGTCATACACATACACAAGAGTAGTAGTAAGTCATACACATAAGAGGGTTTCTAAGGAGAGAGAGCTTCACACACCAAAATCTATTGATCTGGTTGTGTCTTGTATACAAGAAGAGAAAAAGGGGAGTGGATAAACAGTACTTTTCCACTAGACTCTAAATATTGTAGCTATAGTATTTATTGTATTTTACAATAAATATTGTCGAGAGTGCCAGCTATATTTAATGATCTCAACACTCCTCCTCGCTCATCATAATATTTACATAATATAAAATTTGTATAGAATTATGATCTATACTTTTCTATGATCTTGCAAGATCAACAATTGTTGTCTCATTAAAACCTTATCTAGGAAAACCTTATTTTATTCAAGGACAAAACCATAGATGAAAGAAAAAGAATACAACATCATTTTCTTTAATTATTTAAAGAACTCATTAATTTTCTTATTCAAAAAGAGCAAGTCGCCGCATACCAATGCCATCAGTAAGTCGACGATGGTTGCTTAATGGGAGAGCTTTGGTGAAGAAATCAACAAGATTACTTGTAGATTCAATTTTCTTAATTATAAGTGCTTGATCAGTAATCAAGTCATGGGTATAACTAAAATACTTTGGATCAATATGCTTTGTCATGTCGCCTTTAATGAAACCAACTTACATCTGTGCAATACAAGCACTATTATTTTTATGCAAGATAGTTGGAGAATCATCATATGAAAATCCACAGGTTGTTTGAATGAATTTATCAATTGACCACAACCAAAAATATTCTCAAGATGCTTCATGTAAGGCAATAATTTCTGCATGGTTAGATGAAGTTGCAGTTATTGTTTGTTTCACTTATTTCCATGATATTGTAGCTCCATGTCTTAAGAATACATATCCTGTTTGAGATTTAGTTGTTGTAATATCAGATTTATATCCTGCATCACAATATCCAACCAATTTTGGATCTGTGGATTGTGTGTAGTATAATCTCAAGTCTTCAGTACCTTTTAAATAACGTAATAAATGTTTGAAGCCATTCTAATATCTTAGTATTGGACGTGTATTATGTCTTGCAAGAACACTAACTGCAAATACAATATCTGGTCTTGTAGATGTAGCTAAATACAAAAGTGCTCCAACCGCTACAAGGTATGGATATTGGTCTTCCAATATTTCCTCCTCCTCCTCACATAGATAGTATGGATCATGACCATCACGACCACATCCAACCATTGGTGTGGACAATGGATAACCATCAATCATATTAAATCTTTGCAAGATTCGTCTAATATATGTTAGTTGGTAGAAAAAAATGCTACCATCTATTAGATACATAATTTGAAAACCAATGCAGAAAGTTGTTTTTCCTAACATTTTCATCTCAAATTCACGTATAAGTAGGTTTGTAGCTGTAACACATGTAGATGTAGTGCCCACTAGGTTGAGATCATCAACATATACAATGATGATCACAAAACCAATTTTATCTCGTTTGATAAACAAGCAAGGGATTAGTCGATCACTTATAAAATTATTTGTAATTAAATAATCTCGAAGACGCTTATACCACATGCGTCCGGATTATTTTAAACCATACAAGGCCTTACATAATTTAATACCACAATATTTTTCTAAAGCGGGTCGTTTTGAAGTTCTTGTTTTTAAGCCAGGTGGAACTTTCATATAAATATTTGCATCAAGAGAACCATATAGATATGCAGTTACTACATCCATCAGATACATCTCAAGGGTGGCATGATCCGTCATTCCAATAATATATCGAAATGTAATTGAATCCATGATTGGAGAATATGTGGATTCATAATCAATGCCAAATCGTTGAGTAAATCTTTGAGCAACAAGACGAGCTTTATAGCGGGTTATTTGGCCTTTAGCATCTCGCTTGCATATTAATATCATTTTATATCCCACAGGGCAAGATGAAAGAGTATCTACAATTGGACCAAAGACTTTCCTCTTACGCAAAGAGGCATACTCTTCCTCAATAGCAGTTTTTCATTTCGATCAATCTGAGCAACGCATCACCTCTTTGATGGTTTGAGGTTCAAGATCATCTTCCTTGCAAGAAATGGCTTCTATAATCATATATGCGAATGATTCATCTACCATAATAGATGGTCTGTCCCAAATATCATTTGTAGCACAATACAGAATAGATAATTTTTTACTCAACTTGTTCTTATTCCTTCCAATTCTAAGATTATTTTTCATAGGAATTGAAGGTATATTATGCATAGATATATCATCATGAATTGATAGTCCTACAAGATGTGTGGTAATTTCTTGAGAAATAATACCAGGATTAGTCAATTTTATAGTTTTTTTCTTACGTGGTTGCTTATCTAGTCCACGAGTTCTTTTAGTTGTTGTTGTTATAACTTGAGGTATTGTAATCAATGGCACTGCATTCTGAGCCTCATTAATAGGAATTCTTGTAATTCTAGGTGCATCATTGAAGCCATCAGGTGTTTCATCTATGATCCGTTTTAGATGCAAAATCTTAGCAACTTCAGTTTCTACCAAAGATGTCATAGGATTGGGATTCATTATAAACGTTTCTAGTGCTTCAAATATGAGTACTTTATTTCTTTGTTGATTGGATACTCTTTCTTGAAGAGATGGAAATACATTTTCTTCAAAAAGGTAATTTTGCAAACGTACACATAATAATGTGCCAGTTGATGGATCAACAATACAAATAATGCTTGGTGAATCAAAACCAACATATATGCCTTCTTGTCAATGAACTCTAATGGTACGCTGTTGAGGTTCTGATACTGGAATCCAAGCACGGCAATCAAATACTCGTAAGTAAGATATATTTGGAATACGACCTGAAATGAGCTCATGTGGTGAAACAATTTCAAGAGAAGAAGGGTGGAGGCATATTAATGCTGCAGCATGTAAAACTGCATGTCCTCACATAGATGCAGGTAGATTTGCGTGAAGGAGGAATGGCCAGGTAATGAGTTGTATATATTTTATAAATGACTCTACAAGTCCATTTTGAGCATATTCATATGGAACACAATATGTCAATTCGATTCTTGTTGCAGTACAATAGTCTTCAAAAGACTTTGATGCAAATTCTTTTACATTATCTATATGCAATTTTTTTATAGGATAATCATGAAAATATGCCCGAAAGTGAATAAGCATAGATATAAGATTGGCAAATACTATGTTTCGAGTTGATAATAATGAAACATGTGATTGTTTACCTGATGCATCAATAAGGACCAAAAAATAATGAAATGGTCATGATAGTGGATTAATAGGACTACAAATATCACCATGCAATCTTTCAAGTATTGGTGGTAATTCTTATAGAAGTTTCTAAATTGAAGGCCGAGTAATCATTTTACCTTGCATGCATGCACGACATAATTCCATAGAGTCTACATCTGTAGGCTTTAAATTGTGCCCAATTATACATGGAATGATCTTCCTAAATAATGTGGAGCTTGGATGTCCCAATCATCCATGCCAGAGAGAAATACAACTCTCTGAGATAGATGATGCAAAATTAAATATAATGGGAGGCCGAATCACAATTCAATATAAACTATTTTCTGTAGCAAAAGCTTTTTCAACAACTTTATGGTTCTTTGCAAGAACCAAAACCTCTTTTCTATTTAAAGTGGGGGTCAAGAGGTGATAACCATTAATATGAACATCTCGGTAGCTGATTAAACTCCGAGGTACTGAGGGTGCAAACATCGCATGTTTACATTTTATGATGGAACCCGCAGGTAATTTTACCATCGATGTGTCCTTTTAGAAACAAAATGCATTTGCTCCAACTATGGTCATCATATTTTTATTTTACCAAGTTGAAGATTTTTCAATAAAAAATCATCTATCTCACAAGATAGTATGCGTTGTTGCAGAATCAATGAGTACATCATTTGATTCATCATTAGAGGTTCTATCATTCATATAAACCTCTAAGTCATTAACATCAATTGAATCTATGGTATAAACTTCATGAGCCTCAACTCACAATTTCTTATTTTTTTGGGACATTTTAATAAAATATTTTGAAGTACGGCATGCATGTGCTAAATATCCAATCATTCCACATTTATGGTAAGAACGCATCTCTGATTTTTATTTTCTACTATAATTAATAGTAGAATATTTATTCTTTCCTTATGGATAGAAATGGTCTTGATTATCACTACCCTGATATTTATGAGCACGTTTCCTATGTTTATATAATTTCTTCTTAGATTTTGAAATATTAAGTGCAGGAGATTCTGGAATTGTAGTTCCAATAGGATGAGCTTCCGCATTGCACAAGAGTAGCTCATTTTGCTTCTCCGCAAGAAGTAGATAGGACATGAGATCAGAATAACTCTAAAATTTTATGTTCCTATATTGTTATGCAAGCATAGCAGATACAAGAGGAAATGTAGAGAGAGTTTTTTCAATCATTTCTTCTTCAGAAATGCTTTGTCCATATGATTGTAATTGTGAGATAATACTATATATTTCACTATTGAAAGCATTTAAATTTGGAAAATCCAAGACATGTAAATGTGTCCAATTATGATGTGCACATGGAAGAAAAATGGTCTTTTGATGATCAAACTTAGATTTAAGATTCTTCCAAAGTTCTGCAGGATCTTATATTTCCAAATATTGATATTATAATGCAGGTACAAGATGACAACGAAGGAAAAGAAGTGCTTTCCAATGAATAGTAGAAGATATAGAAATACTTATTGTAGGAGATTCATCAAACAT